GACCAGGGGAGACATGATAGCAATGTTCCAATATTTGAATATCCTCTCTGCTACAGAGAGGAGGGGGTCAAGCTATTTTCCAAAGCACCTGAAGTTCAGACAAGGAATAATGGATGGAACGAGAGATTCAACCTAGAAATAAGGAGAAATGTTCTGACAGTGAGAAAAATCAACCAATGGAACAGGAGTTGCCTTCAGAAGTTGTGGGAGCTTCAACACTGGAGGCTTTCAAGAAGAGACTGGACTGCCATCTGTCAAAAATGATGTAGGGTCTGTCCAGGAGGTTGGACTAGATGACCTACAAGGCCCCTTCCAATTCTGTTAATCTGTATCTGTAAGATGTCCTCTTTTATAATTATTTTATAAAGTTATTTCTGATTACTTCAGGCAAGCCTGCCTCACTCAAATGTTGTGGGAACAAAATGGCGGGTTTTGAAAATGCTATCTTCAGATTCTGGAGAAAATGCAAGATAGAGCTCGAGTCCCACAAATGAATCAAAAAACTAAGTCAATGACTTGCAGTGGTCACCTACTGTAATAGGGGCCCTCCAGATGGCGTGAAACTGTCATTCTCAGCCACATGAACTCCTAAAACCTATGCTGATAGAACTTGGAAGTTCTATCAACTTTTAGAGGGCTCGGTTTCTTCACCCTGAACTTGAATTATATAAAGCATTGTTCATCCTCTTCTGTTTCCTCTTCTGGATGATTAATTTGCAATTCCAATCAGAAAAAAAAGAGCAAGAGGAATGCAAACACGAAGAATGACGGAATGAGCTATATCTTACCAAGCAAAATAAACATATGGGAAATGGGTCTGTGTAACCAGCTGTGCTTACAATAAAAGCACTTTTGTGTGCAAGTTGATGTTTCATGTTTCAGCTTTTCATCACCTGTTTTCCCTTTCCTCTTTATTTATTTATTTTTTGCAGGTGGTTGTAGAAGAAAAGGGAAAATCCAGATTCTGTGTTCAGGTAGTACAGAAGGGTGACATCTGATAGAAATGGGTGGTGGGAAATGAGGTTTCTGTTATCCAATCTAACTTCCGTTTGTTTGTGATCACATCTACAGCATCTTCTAGCCAGCCTTCTTTGTGCTATGAAGTTGACATGTATTTAGGAAGTTCTTAATTCCCCCCCCCTCCAAATTAATGGCAATCATTGCTTATTTTTTTGTAGGGGAATTTAAAGAATCAAAGAAGTAAGAAGACCATGATCAAAAGTTGTAAAGAAATGAAAATGGCTCATAATGGAAAAGTTACCTTCTAGGGGAAATTGGAGGCACAGAAATTAAATAAATAAAAATAAATATATCTGGAGAAGAACTAGATGTACTTCTTTGTTTACCATGATGGATCTCAATGGAAAGTGATACAATAAAGGAAATTGAACATCATGTTAAATGTGGTTGGCAGGCATTCAGCAAGTGAAATGTAATTGTCAAGAACAACCTCCCGCTATGCCTGAAGAGAAAAGTTTTTGACCAGTGTGTGCTACCTGCTCTAAGTTGGACAGGGTCCTCACAATCGACACAAAGCTGTGAGTGGCACAAAGAACCACGGGAAGAGACATTCTCGATATCAAGACAGAAATACCTGCAATGGATCAGAGAGCAAAAGAAAATATAGAAGAGAGTAAAAGAATGGAAATGGAAATGGGCTGGTCTCAGAGCAAGAAGGACTGATGGCAGGTGGACCAAGGCAGTTGTAGAATGGATACTACTGGCTCAAAAGCGTCCACAAAAGAGACCTAAAATGAGGTGGATGGATGGATGATATCAGCAGTATGGCAGGCCCAATTGGCAAAAGAAAGCTGAGGACCGTATTGGTTGGAAATATATGGAAGAGGCCTCCATCCTACAGTGGATAGACAAAGGCTAGTATGATGATCAGTGGTGGGATTCAGCCAGCTCGCACCTATCCAGGAGAACCGGTTGTTAACTTTCTAAGCAGTTCAGAGAACCGATTGTTGGAAGAAATCTCATTTTGTTTTTTTCCACTTTACAGGGCTAATCCTGTAGGGAAGGCAGGAAGGAAACATTCTGGTGTTGTTTCTAGCCTCATCTTTATTGCCCTGCTTACA